CCTAGAGCATAGACTATACTAAGTAACAAATAAATATCAATTATATCACTATTTTCCAGGGTGCTCTAAAGAGAATGTAATAGTCTTTGCAAACATTTCTTGCAGTATTGTAGGATACAAGCTCCAGAACAGACAGTGAGAATGTCTCCAGAATCTGGGAAGAATGGAACTCCTCTACTTGGAAGGTCAGAGACAAGAGTCTCACCACGGGCATCTTCTCAAAGGAGCAATTTCCGTGGAGTTAGGGAAGAAGAAGCTAGACTGGTCTTAAAATCTTACATATTGTCCATTTAACTCAATAGTCTTTAACATAAATCAGGCCTTAATGTTCAGAATCATGATTTATTACCTGAGAAGGAAAAGGCTAACCACATCTCTGAAAGGCTAGAATCTCTCATTATGCAAATGCATGAAGAAACTTTTAAGAGACAAAATTGTACTGTCTTTTCTAAAATCTTAATTCTACCAAATTTTATCAAAGAAACAAAAGAATTAGAACTTTAATGATTTTTTATCCTAGTCAATACTAAATATATGCTGTGATCATTATACTTGCTTTTTCATAGAAATTTTCTTAAGCATTTTTAATATTGGTCTCAATGGAGTGCAGCCAGAAGCATCTGTTCTATTAACACTGGGGATTCTCAGTTCAGCCACATCCTTAGGCTATACCTGTGCTGAGCTGACTAACAGGAACAGAGGCTGATCAGCCAGAGTCAGCCAAAGTACACCCGAGTCTCAGCAGGTCAAGTGCCATGAGGTACCATTTAAAAAATGGTGATAGTAAATCTACTGGGAGCAGATTTGAGTTGTAGGATACAATATTAATTTTTCTTTTAAAAAAGATAACACTTGTGAGCAAAACAAAATCTGTTATGGGTTTTGAGTGTTTAAAACTTTTTTCTTTTGGGCAGTGGTGGTACACGCCCTTAGTCCCAGCACTTGGGAGGCAGAGGCAGGTAGATCTCTCTTTGAGGCCAGTTTGAGGCCAGCCTGGTCTACAGATTGAGTTCCAGGACAGCCAAGGCTACACACACACACACACACACACACACACACACACACACACACAAACACAAAACCTGTCTTGAAAACTCAATAATAATAATAAAATTAAATAATTTTTCTTTCATAAGCTGAAACTTACTTTTCTAGGAATAAATCAAATACGCTGCTAAGTAAATAGGACAAAGACTCATTCTATATTGTAGTATTGCAAACAGACAGTCTAACATCTTTTTTTTTGGGGGGGGGGGAGGTTGTTGCGAGACAGGGTTTCTCTGTGTAGCCCTGGCTGTCCTGGAACTCACTCTGTAGACCAGGCTGGCTCGAGCTCAGAAATCTACCTGCCTCTGCTTCCCAAGTGCTGAAATTGAAGGCATGTACCACCACTGCCCGGATAACATCTTTTAAATATCAGTCCTGTGTTACATTTGCAAGGGCAGAAAATCCATCTTCTTCAGCAGAACCCACTTGTTCACCTATAGTTTTCTTAAGGCTCCATCCTGATCCTTTCTGAGACCTGACCAGCTGGCCCAACTCCCTGTCTCCACCTCACATCACCTTGGCCAGACAACCTCATGCATGTGCCCAGGAATGTGAGTCTTGCACCACAGAGCTGAGAGAATCATTGTGTATCATTTATTAATTTAACCGTGGAAAATCTGGAGCTAATGCCCAATAAAAGCATCTATGCACTTCTTTCCTCCTAACCAGTGACTGTATCTGTAGCTTGTTAAATGTCTTACTGTAATTTTGTACTATTACTATCCTGTATAAAATAGCCTGTATCAGATGTGTTCCCTGAGTGACTCATTTATGTGATCTCTTTAAGTGTTTTATGATGTGATAGGAACTTGTGGACGGCAGGGGACAGGGAGGTGTCTTTTCATTTTTCTTGTAAAATCTATTACCTAAACACCACACCAGAAATGTAAAGAAACAGCATAGTCAGTGTAGCTGTCTTTGGTCCAGGGACATTTTCAAGAGCCTAGGACTCAGCAGTTTTTGCTCCCAGAACATCACCAGTATAAGATGAAGTCACACCGCTTAAGGCATCTCCAGTGCTGATCTGTTGCACTCAGTGGCCAGGGTACCTAAAGTGAGCGGGATGGCTGCACACTGGGAATTCATAGGGAACCCTAAAATTAATGACTGTAAACATTGTCAAGTTGTGCCTATAATTTGGATGTCATCATTTAAACATCTTTCAGCAGCAGTAGACACTGCAAATTAGTTTATTATCTGTCTTGGCTTGAGCATCAAATAATGAATCTGTCAAGGAAAGACTAGAGTATTTTTTTTAACATTGCTTATTTAGAGAAATGTTTGTTTTTATAACTGTTATCAGTAAGCAGATCTCATTTAAACCTCAGCCAATAAACAAAACAAAACAAAAAAAAAGATAATGATTCTACAACTAGGGAAAGTGTTTTAACCTGATTTTTAAATAATACATGCAGAATTGCGGTTCATTATACGGTAATAATGTACTATGATTATGCTTATAAAGTAGACTAGATGGCAAGATTTCATAGTGAAAACAAGATAATTAGCATCATGGTTTTTTCATGTTTTAGAGCATAAAGGTAGCCCTCCCCCTCTTCCTTTTTCTTAAAAGGACTTGGTGCTTTGTGACACCTTTAAGCATGCCTTAGTGCCCTGTTACCTGCTGAGAAGTCGGAACAGTAGTCAAGGAAGAAGATGGGGGGAGGCTGCAACGTAACCACCTTTGCAGCTTATGTTGCTGTCTGCTGCAGCTCATCAGTCTGTGCGTTCCTCTGTAAGGTGCTTCCAAGTGGGCCAGTTCAGATTCCTTGAAGTGGAAAGGTCAACTTAAAATAATAGTATTGGCCCAGCAGTGGAAGATAGAACTAAAGCAACAGCTTCAGCCACCAATGGCCCCTCTGCAGTCACACACCATACACAGAAACTTCCAGGTTTACTACTTATAGGCATCATAGCAGGTGCCACAAATAATAACTCTACTATAGTCTCCTAAATCTTCTCTTCAGGGCCCTGTTAAAGTGTCATCCCATCTTTTCACCTTCCTTTTCTCAGCCTGACTTTTCCCTCTCCCTTTCCTCCACATCCCGGACAGCCAGTCCTGTCTGACGTTAGCACTCACAGCACTTGCTCAGAACCTCAGGTAGTGTTCCTCTTACCCTACAGTGTGTGTGCATGGTGGTGTTCATGTCCGTTGTAGCTGCAGAGCCAACCTTGAATCCCTCCCATAGAAGGTACTTGGTGAGTTAGGTACTGAAACAGGTACTCACCTCCTCCTGGAGCCAGCAAATCATCATTCTAAGACACCGGTGTGTGCTTGACCACAGCATGAGACTTGCAGACCACTTCCTCTGGAGAGGGGAAGGAAAACTCAGGCCTGGTCACTGAATTCCTAACTACGAAGCATTTTGTTTATTCTGGTACATATCTCCTGGATGCTGACTGGATTCTTGGCATGCTAGATATAAAAGCTATGCATCCCAGCTAGATAAATGCAGTTCAAAAAGTACTGTAAACACATTTCATAGAGAGTACTCTGCAGACATTGAGAAGGGAGTGGCTAGTTCTGCCTGGTGTTCTATTCAGGCTGGTGTTTCTGAAGTTGGGGTGCTTCAGGGAAGTCCTCCAGGGAAAATTTTCAGAGTCTCAAAAGTCAGATGTCTGAGTTTTAAGCACCCAGAGTTACAGAAATACAGTAAATTGTAGTTCTTTCCCTGTCTTCTCTTGTGATGTAAGAACTCCTGTACCAGCCTAGGTGGTCAAATAGTATAGGATGCACTTGGCAGAAGGGTTTAATGATTCTACATGATACAGGAACTCCTGTCAAAAATCTGAGATCAGTTCATTTAGAATCAGAGTTCACAGGATGTACAAATTATAAAAACTTATGTCAGGTTATGATGGTAAAATTCTCTCCATTCTAACAATTCCACATTGGGTTCCTTAACAAGGGTTCCCCAAGTGCTTGCTGTGTGTCCATCCATTTGCAGGGGTTAGATACTCAGCCTCTGGCTCCCGTCACGCTCCTCTAGGCCTTTGACCAGAAAACAGCAGCAAGCTGCAAAAGTCAGGGGCAAATCTGACAGCACTGTGTTTGCAGTGATATTTACCAGGCATTCAGAAGCCAAACATTAAATGGCAAAGTGGATCGGAAGAATGAGGTGACTTTCTGGATAATCCAGTCCAAAATTCCATTTTCAGGGGGCAGGTCCAAACACCTTCCTTACCTGCCTAAACTGTGTAGGCTATGTTCTGAATGCACTTCACTCGATAGTGTGCTGGGCACACAGTAGGACAAACAAAAAAGGTGAGTTCTGTTACCCAGGAGAGACTCTGACCCCAACTCCTCACATCTAAGGGGCTCCTTTTCAGAGTTGCACATATGGCATCTGGGGACCATGATTGACACACAGTGTGCACTGCGTGTGTAAGGAGGACACGCCTTCCTTTCACTGTGACTAAGTCCCATCCTCTGATATTTTTACTCATTTGCGTTATCACTGTTTGTGGGTTTTCACTGGGGTAAACCATTTCATAGCTGGTAGAAGGAACAGGGACATGTGGGTGTAGTCCTGCATTTGTCACCTTAAATGAAAGAAATTATTTGGCATTTGAATTATTTTAAAGTCTTTTTTTTTTAAAACAAGCTTTTTAGGCCTTAGTTTCACCATTTACAAAATCAGAGTGTTACATATAGGTGATTCATGTCCTTTTACCTATAGGATTGTATTGCTGTGTAATTATCCTGCCTTATCTGAAGTATTTGTATGACCAGAAACATGTAAGACTTACTGTTGGAATTATAGCATCTCCTTTTATGAATTATAAATGGTCATTGATTTTATAAATTGCAAAATCTGGTACATAGAGCTGAGACTATATCATTTAGCCACTGATATTTCTTTTTTTTTCTTTTTTTTTCTCTCTTATGCTCAAAGTAAAATGCTTCACATCTTGCTTTTAATGAAATATTTCTCTTTTTATTTTTTTGGTAGCCAGAAGTGCAACTTGCTGAAGGCTTCGATGTATTTATGCCCAAATCTCAGCTGGACTCTATACTGTCAAACTACACTCGCTCAGGAAGCCTTCTGTTTAGAAAACTGGTGTGTGCGTTTTTTGATGACAAGACTTTGGCTAACTCCTTACCCAATGGGAAGAGGAAAAGAGGGCTCAATGACAACCGGAAAGGACTAGACCAAAACATTGTCGGTGCAATAAAAGGTTGGTCTGCGTCGTTTCATTTTAAGGGTTCTTTGTTGAGTTTTTGCCTTCATTCCATCAAGGTACAGGTTAAAAAAAAAATACTAAGCTAACTAGACACTAATTTAATTTGTTAGCAACCTCCCCATGGGTGTGACTCCTGTGTGTAAGCTCTGTAAGCCCTCACCCCAGATACTCTAGGATACTACTCAACGTGATAGCAATTGCTGAGCTCATAGCTTTAGAACCAGTTTTATCTGCTGCAGAACCAAAAATATTTGGTAAATGGAAATATTTTTCCAAGAACTTTATCAAAATATGATTTTGGCAAAATTTAAGCTTAAAATTTTAAGTGTAGATAAGAATAAACTGTGGTATAAGTTTTATAAAGTAGTACATCTCTTGGGAAGTTTTGAAACTGCTATCAGAACATTGCATCTGAAGATCTTTTAAATATAAACAAAGCCACTTACTGTCTCTCCCCACATATTCCCAGCCAAGTGGTCCCTTTTGTAGTGTGGCATGCAGTTCTACTTGTCACTTGGAGGGACAGTTTTGGTTCTTGCCCTTCACCTCCTTTGAACATGTGTCCGCTCTACCATGGTTTGGCAGGTACCTGGATATGTGTCTTCATCCCTAACCGCTTACACATCTTACAGCTAGCTCTTCCCTGTTCAGTATCTGTGTTCAGGACTGTGGTGACTTTAGGAAGAAACATATTTAAATGTTATTATCAAAAAGAATATGCTCCAAGTCTCATTAAACACAACTGCCATGAAAATGAATTGGAGTTTAACTTAACCTCAACTCTGACTATTCTTCCCTGGCTCGGTCTCCACCTTGTCGTGACTGCCAGTGAAGCTGACTCAGGCTTGCCCTGCCTCCTCCTGCTGGCCTTTATCTTGCAGAATGAGTAAATGAATTCAATAATGCTTAAAGGATACTTGGAAATTCACAATTAACTTTACAAAATAATTCAATTTTTAAATGGAGTTAGCAAGTACCAGACACCCTTTGCTCGTGGCCAGAAGGACATAGCCTTCATTAACAGGACATTTCTCATAGTCTGTCAGAATTTTTTTTTTTACTTAGAGTGACGGTTGAGTTCTATTAAATAAGAAGCACCACAGAGATACCACAGCCTTTGCCATTTATGAAAAGGATGATTCAGCCTGCGGTGGCACTAAAAACAAGATTATAGAATTTGAAAATCAGTCAATAATGTAACTAGGACTCTCTGAAGTGAAGTGGAAGCTGTTTCCATCCCCACAGACAGGGCCTTCTCAGACAAGGGGGCCAAGGCTGCTGATACAGTTCTGCAGTACACACAGGCATTGGTTTGATTTTCTTTCTTTCCCAGAAGAGTCTATTAACGTCGTAAGGGCACTTTGAAATTGGGAAACTATAAATGACCACATTTCATCTGTGTGACATTAGTAGAGCTTATATAATAGAAGGTAATGAAATATATCATGACAAGTAGACTCCCGTCAGACAAGGGTTTAAAAATCTGTCACAAATAGTAAGAGACTAGACATCAGGCAGGAGTTTAAAAATATACTACACATGTTAAAAGAAGATATACTTTAATTTTTTCAAAGCTTTAATAAATATGGCAACAAGGTCCCTATTCCTAATACAAACTAAAACAAGTTAATCTAATGAAAGAACTTAACATTTCCAGTCTGCCCACAACCTTATTTAAAACTCTGTTCTAGTTTTTATTCTGTTGCTGTGACAAAAACACATATTTAGTTATAGACATATCCTGGTTTCTTTCTCTAATTACAAAAATAATTTATCCTGATAAAAATCTAGTTCATAAAACTGAAAGTATTCCCACCCAGTTCAGAGAGTACCCTGTGCCTTCCTGCCATCTTGATTCAGCTATGAAAACAGCACCCGCCTGCTCTGTAAGACATTTTATTTATTTATTTTACAGGATTTCTTATAATCTCCTTGAAAACACACTTTGTCTGAAATGTTCTTATTACCTGTGCCACTTGTAGGAAGTCAGGAGACACCACTGCCAAACGTGTTGATTTATGATGACGTCTGAGGGAGGGTGGGAAGGTGCACATGCTGGCAGAGGCTTTGTTGGAGCTTCCCTCCTGCGCCCTGAGACAGGGCCCCTGAGAAGAGTCTGTTGTCACCATGTCCCTGTAACTCCCTCATCATTTTATGTTGGATCATAAGAGAGGACTAGAGAGTGACATCACACACAGACTGTTACAAGCTAGTACTTATTCTTTGAGCCCACTGAGCTCTCCCCCAAATCCTTTTCTCTCCCCTAAGAGGAAGAGTTAAAAGCACTGGCTAGGGTATTCACTCTTCTCTCTGTGGCTGCTTGTCTTCTTACCCTGCCTGCTGTTAGCTTATTTCCTACGAAGTCACCAAACTCTCATGGGATAAAGGGAAACTTTCCCTTCCTCTACTGCTTCTGTAAATACGTGTTGACTGAACAAGTAGGAAGAGCTTTTTCCTTTTCATCCTGATATAGGTCTTCACCGACATAATGGGTTTAGTGCCAAATAGTTTCATATTTCTTATAACCAGTTTGGAATGACACGTCAAAATAACCCGTGTAAATGTCTGATAAGTGTAGTCAATAAATTGCCAGTGAAAGTAAAAAAGTGGAAATCAAAATTTAATATAAATCTCTTAAGACCACACCTCCCAGTATACCGTTCTTTGTCATAGTTTTCTCTCAATGGTTTTTAGCATATGTTTTACAAGTGAATTTTGGAAGTAAGTATTAGTGAAGGTCCTATAGAATAACCATTTCTAGTTTTTCTTACTCTCAGTAGAGATAAGAGAGAAACGTATTCTCCTGACTCAGGTCTTCTGCATCTGAGTTATGTGGAGACGGACTGAAATGACCTCTTCCTATACCCTAATCCCAAGGCTGTCTGGACTGTTGTTGCCATGGCTGCATATTTGAGGAAGAATGAGTGCACACGTGTGTGTGCACGTGTTAGTGTGCATTCTTCCCTACTCTGTCTCATGAGGTAGTGAACCCACTGCGTGTTGTTTTGAAAAGCCCTATAAACTAGGAACAGAAAAATGTTTAATTTTATGAATTCTCACATATAAAAAATAGCAGTGAAGGAACAGAAGGAATTAGATTAATTAAACGGTAGTTGTAAAATGATGCAGTCTGTAAAATGCCTGTAAGTGGGAACAGAGATGCCGTGGGGATCTCATGCATTGATTTACGTATATGTTGAGCCATCCTTCCATCTCTGGAATGAAACCAACTTAACTGCGGCAGGGGATCATTTTATGTGTTCTTAGATTCAGTTTGCAAGCGTTTTTAAAAGTTAGATTTATTTATTTTGTGTCTATGAGTGTTTTACCAGCACATATGTATATGTACCACATGTGTGCAGTGCTCGTAAGAGTCAGGAGAGGGCACCCGGTCCCCAGAACTGGAGTTTCAGAGTGCTCAGTAAGAGTAGGTAGTGCTCTAAACCACCGAGCTCTTTCTCCAGCTCCAGTTTGCAAGTATCTTACTGAGATTTTTTTCATCTGTATTCATCATTGAGATTGGTTTATAGTTTTGGTTTTTTATTGTGTCTCTATCTTGTTTCACTGTTGGTATTATGCAGCCTTCATAAAAGACATCCAGACTCAGAGAGGAATTATGCAAGGTGATATTTATTGTCTTGAGGAAGCTAGCTTTGACTGTCAATCACTTTTAAAAATGCACCAGGGAAAAAAGTTTATTAGGGGATGATTAACAGAGCTTTTTGTGTGATAATTCTTCCCATGACAATATCTCAAAAGCAAAACATAAGCCTCTTTGCAGAGATGATACTTTTCAGATCATTTTATGCATTAGTAGTGACTTATACTTAATGATGATCCATTAAGAGATTAGTGGGTAAGTACGAACTAAGGTATTGCTAATGAAAGGACCCTTAATTGGAAAGCTCACCTGAGCCTTGGGAATATGGCCCCCGTAGTAGAGCACTTGCCTAGCACGTATGAAGCCCTTATCTCTTTAACTAGAGACTTAGAAGCAGTGCTGGGCAAAGCTTAGCAGGGACTCGTAGGCAAAACCTAAGGCAGAGGTGAGTACTGCATCTCCTCGCCTCCCAGCACGCTGTCCCTGCGAAGCTGCCATTGGCTCACCATTGCTTTTTCTGCTTTTTCTCACTGAACTATGCAATTTGATTTAAGAGTTACCTATATGTGATGTTGACTACCTGAATGCCCTTCAAAAATAGTTACAACAAAGCATTGTCATAGTTATGATTTTTGGCTTTATAGCAATTAAGTAAGAAAGTTTTTGCTATGTAAGTGGGCTAGAGTTTTGACTCTCCTTGTGTTCAACTGATATCACTGATGTCTGTCAAATGGAAGAGATGGTTGGTTGTTGGATATCACTCTACCTCCTTCAACTCAGTTGGCCACTCTGAGGAGAGATCAGCGTTGTCTGTCTAGAGAGACCTGAGGACTCAGAACTATGGGAGGGACAGATTGCATACAGTAGTATTCCAAACAGTTCAAAGTTGAATGCCCAAAATCTTTAGTTTACACTGTCACATACTTTACAGAAAGGATCATCAAAAGCTCTCACTTTATTTCACGACTCTACACACTTGAGGTCCATATCTGTTGTTTGATAGGACCTCTATTATTTGACAGTTACTGCAAATAATTCATTTTATGGTGAATTGATTTTTAAAAAAAAGGAGAAAAGAGCTGTTTGGAATATAGGTTAAATATAATCCTTTAGCTAAAAATATCATTTTAAAAGCTTATTATTTATTATTATTATTATTATTTGACCTCAAAGATTTGAATTTATAAAGAAGTGGAGTTTGTATCTGGTTTATTCTTATTTTTTGATGGTAATTTTTTCTGAATTCCCAGAACTCCATGATACATTGGCTACAATTCGCATTTCCCTATGGTGATGATTTTATTTCTTTGTATAGAGGACAGAGGCTATAAGACATTTGAATAAATTTACTTAGCTTAAACTTCCCCAAAGTAGTAGCATTAGAGTGGCCTCT